GATACACAAATTTGGACTCGAGGCTTCCCCCTGGTAATGCGATCTCGGAAGGCAGGCCTCCCCTTTGCAACACGAGCGCACTGCGCAGCTCGGAATCGGGAGCTCTCGATACGAGAGGTACGTATCGAGAATGACTCGGGCCGAAAATTTTCTAAGTCACAATTTTTCAAAGTTTTTCTAAAAACCACTTTTCTCCACGTTTCATGCTACCTTCTTCATTATAAGCCGAACATTTTTTTTTGGTTTTTCGGTTTATCGAAGTCTGCACCTACCCCTCGATACACAAATTTGGACTCGAGGCTTCCCCTTGGTAATGCGATCTCGGAAGGCAGGCCTCCCCTTTGCAACACGAGCGCACTGCGCAGCTCGGAATCGGGAGCTCTCGATACGAGAGGTACGTATCGAGAATGACTCGGGCCGAAAATTTTCTAAGTTGTAAGTCAAAATTTTTCAAAGTTTTTCTAAAAACCACTTTTCTCTACGTTTCATGCTACCTTCTTCATTATAAGCCGAACATTTTTTTTTGGTTTTTCGGTTTATCGAAGTCTGCACCTACCCCTCGATACACAAATTTGGACTCGAGGCTTCCCCCTGGTAATGCGATCTCGGAAGGCAGGCCTCCCCTTTGCAACACGAGCGCACTGCGCAGCTCGGAATCGGGAGCTCTCGATACGAGAGGTACGTATCGAGAATGACTCGGGCCGAAAATTTTCTAAGTCACAATTTTTCAAAGTTTTTCTAAAAACCACTTTTCTCCACGTTTCATGCTACCTTCTTCATTATAAGCCGAACATTTTTTTTTGGTTTTTCGGTTTATCGAAGTCTGCACCTACCCCTCGATACACAAATTTGGACTCGAGGCTTCCCCCTGGTAATGCGATCTCGGAAGGCAGGCCTCCCCTTTGCAACACGAGCGCACTGCGCAGCTCGGAATCGGGAGCTCTCGATACGAGAGGTACGTATCGAGAATGACTCGGGCCGAAAATTTTCTAAGTCACAATTTTTCAAAGTTTTTCTAAAAACCACTTTTCTCCACGTTTCATGCTACCTTCTTCATTATAAGCCGAACATTTTTTTTTGGTTTTTCGGTTTATCGAAGTCTGCACCTACCCCTCGATACACAAATTTGGACTCGAGGCTTCCCCTTGGTAATGCGATCTCGGAAGGCAGGCCTCCCCTTTGCAACACGAGCGCACTGCGCAGCTCGGAATCGGGAGCTCTCGATACGAGAGGTACGTATCGAGAATGACTCGGGCCGAAAATTTTCTAAGTTGTAAGTCAAAATTTTTCAAAGTTTTTCTAAAAACCACTTTTCTCTACGTTTCATGCTACCTTCTTCATTATAAGCCGAACATTTTTTTTTGGTTTTTCGGTTTATCGAAGTCTGCACCTACCCCTCGATACACAAATTTGGACTCGAGGCTTCCCCCTGGTAATGCGATCTCGGAAGGCAGGCCTCCCCTTTGCAACACGAGCGCACTGCGCAGCTCGGAATCGGGAGCTCTCGATACGAGAGGTACGTATCGAGAATGACTCGGGCCGAAAATTTTCTAAGTCACAATTTTTCAAAGTTTTTCTAAAAACCACTTTTCTCCACGTTTCATGCTACCTTCTTCATTATAAGCCGAACATTTTTTTTTGGTTTTTCGGTTTATCGAAGTCTGCACCTACCCCTCGATACACAAATTTGGACTCGAGGCTTCCCCTTGGTAATGCGATCTCGGAAGGCAGGCCTCCCCTTTGCAACACGAGCGCACTGCGCAGCTCGGAATCGGGAGCTCTCGATACGAGAGGTACGTATCGAGAATGACTCGGGCCGAAAATTTTCTAAGTCAAAATTTTTCAAAGTTTTTCTAAAAACCACTTTTCTCCACGTTTCATGCTACCCTCTTCATTATAAGCCGAACATTCTTTTTTGGTTTTTCGGTTTATCGAAGTCTGCACCTACCCCTCGATACACAAATTTGGACTCGAGGCTTCCCCCTGGTAATGCGATCTCGGAAGGCAGGCCTCCCCTTTGCAACACGAGCGCACTGCGCAGCTCGGAATCGGGAGCTCTCGATACGAGAGGTACGTATCGAGAATGACTCGGGCCGAAAATTTTCTAAGTCACAATTTTTCAAAGTTTTTCTAAAAACCACTTTTCTCCACGTTTCATGCTACCTTCTTCATTATAAGCCGAACATTTTTTTTTGGTTTTTCGGTTTATCGAAGTCTGCACCTACCCCTCGATACACAAATTTGGACTCGAGGCTTCCCCCTGGTAATGCGATCTCGGAAGGCAGGCCTCCCCTTTGCAACACGAGTGCACTGCGCAGCTCGGAATCGGGAGCTCTCGATACGAGAGGTACGTATCGAGAATGACTCGGGCCGAAAATTTTCTAAGTCAAAATTTTTCAAAGTTTTTCTAAAAACCACTTTTCTCCACGTTTCATGCTACCTTCTTCATTATAAGCCGAACATTTTTTTTGGTTTTTCGGTTTATCGAAGTCTGCACCTACCCCTCGATACACAAATTTGGACTCGAGGCTTCCCCCTGGTAATGCGATCTCGGAAGGCAGGCCTCCCCTTTGCAGTGCGAGCTTGTTTCGACTGTCGAGGATGTAGGTCTCACTTCTCAGTGCCTATTACTCTCCCCTATTACTCACTCCTGCTGTAGCCTGTAGAAATAACTTTACACTAGGCTTGAGTAATTATGATTTTGCCTGAAGTGTGCCTCTACTAACCTAGTATAAGCATCTAGTAGCCTACTATGAGCTTTCATAAGCTTGTTACGCCCCTAGTAAGCGTAAATAAACATGTTAGGATGTCCAATTTAGGTGTTAAATGGTGTTAAAGATGAAATTTCGAAGACAAAATTCATGGCATAAAATGGAGAAAATGGAGAATTACTCATGGGTTTTTCCATTTTCTCCATAGAAAAAGTCTCCATTTTATGCCATTTTATGCCATTGGCCCCCCCCCCCCCCCCCCCGATTTTCCACATGTGGATGACAATGTAACGTGACATAAATATAATTACTAATTACTAATAAACACTTAATTAAAGTGTACATTAGAAACTTTTGAAGTTGGGGTTAGTTTACCTGGGGATCTTTACCAGGCTATTATGTTCATAAACATAATAGAAATTCGGCGGAATGACAGGCTGAGCGCCACCCAGTAAAGCAGTAAGGGTAAGTCAGTTACTTTAAAACAAGTCTCAAAATATTAAATGATACAAACTACAGTCAATTACAAACCATCTCTTCAGTGGTCACATGACACATTCAATACAACCTTGCTGTCTCGCAGACAGCGGCGACCTGCACAAACTCACTAATCACGTGAGACAACTATGTTAATCAACACATGTGAGCACGTTCAGAAATCCTATGGTCACGGAATAAGGAATACAAGGAATACAAATACAAGGAATACAAATTTAAAATCTTAAGCTACAATAGTAACTGTTAAGATAATAACAATATCATAAGATTTGAATTTATTATATTAATATAACTTAAACTAAAGTGAAACATAAATATTTTGACAAAAAATATTTTGTTTACAATCGCCTTGGTAATGCTCTAATGCTTGAGCCAGGCTACTTTGCACTCTTTGTTGCGCGAGAAGAAAAAAAGCGCTGGTACAGTGATTTTCAGTGTTCATGTACTGGCCAGAGAGTCGACGAATTTCTTGCGGTTGTTAAAACACGTAGTGGCAAATCTAGCAACGACTCTCGTGAGGTGGACTTGACTTTCATTCGTGATTAATTCAATGATTTCACTGTTGCTGCTGATGAATTTGAGGACGTTTGCTCCAGGGATGACAGTGTAAACAGAACAAGATGACGCAGATGGTTTGATTGAATTTGATATGATTGATTGGATCTTGTCTAGGACTTTTCGCCTTGATGCAGCGTTAAGATCACAATGGTTAAGGAAGTGATCTTCATTCTCAATAATACCAGAACCTAAGACTATATTGCACCAGGAGCATATTCGCTCATCGCGAGGAGTTTGATTGTATCGGCCAAGTTCAATTTCGAGTCGATGTGCACTGATCCGCAGTCTTGTGATATTAGCACGGTCTGCATATTTAATGACACTGTCTAGGTAATACTCTTTGTTAAATTTGGATTTTAGGTCACGATAGAATTCTAATTTCCGAGAAGTGTTGATACAGGACCCCCAATATTCTCTAAAGCTACTTTTCAAAGTTTTAGTAATGACGTGTGGTGTGAATATTTTACTCCCGATGGGTTGTGTTGATTGCGGAGGAATTCGTTTCTTGAAACCGTTGTGAATAAGAAAGTCCTCTTTTGGTGGTTTTGCGATACTCGGGTTTCTTTCGAAAATTGACTTGGAGTGATTGTTTTTGAGTGTGCGGTAGGCTGTGACATGATCGGTAGAGAAACCTGATAATACTGTAGTCACGTGACACAAACAAAAGTCTCCTCAAGAAAGCGTGTAGGAGCTGTCTGTACTGCTGAGGAACACCAGTTACAAGTGAGTTGTTGTTAACTCTTATAAACATTTCCTGTTGCTTGTAATCAAGTTTCTCAGTTCAGTTGTAAGATGAGAGACTGTGAAGTTTGGAGAACTGATTGGCACACGATCACAGTCACATAACTGTCACAGATTATAAGGGTCGTTCACATATTACGTAATCACTTTTTGAACAATTTTTACCTCCCCCCTCCGTAATCAGTTTTACCCATAGCCATAGCTATTGTATTAAAATTTACACTAGCGTAATCATTTGGAAATCCGCCTCCCCCTTGGCTGATTACATAATACTATAATATGCGAACTCGACCACTAACTGTTAGTTTAAAATGTCAGCCCAGTTTCTAAACAGGAAACAACCATGCCGTAGTTCCTAACTTGACTACAATGTGGCTCTTTAATTTCTATGCGTTCACCTCACCTCACGTAGCTAATGGGTAAGAAGAAGGGTAAGACGATATAAATAGTTCTAGATGGTTCCAGCTCTAGTGAAGAGGAGAGTGAGGAGGATGCTAGAGTTCCACCACCTTTTGAAATAGGTATGATTCTATTGCAGCACGTTAATTGAAACGCGTTGGATACAACACGTTAATCGAAATTCATTAGATATAACTCGTTATCCAAAATTTGAATTATTATAGTTGCATTATTTTCGGGAAAGCTGCTCAGATCAATCTGGGACGAAATATTATTTTGATAATGGATTCAAAAGATGCCTAATGCTTATCAAATTAAATGTACGTACAAAGTTTTCATTAGAAGATAATAATCACGATTTGCCCCGTTTGCTCATGTTTATGATAGCCCCGTTTGTTTGCCAGAAATGCACTAAAAGCTGCTCACAATCATATGTCCAGGACTACAGTCACGCGTTAATTGTAACGCGTTAGATATAACGCGTTAATCAATGTTCAGGACTACAGAACCGTCCTCCGGGCAGGAATCACAGAGGAAGGAGGTTTGAGAGAGCAGATATTGATCAGATGGGGGTCCACAATTGGGTGAGTTAAGGTAAACGAGCTGATAGTTCTACTTATAGTTCTACTTATAGGTCTACTTCTACTTCTACTTCTACCTCTACTTCTACTTCTACTTCTACTTCTACTTCTACTTCTACTTCTACTTATAGTTAGTTCTTATTCTCACTTAAAAAGTTACAGAGAACATGCTTTCTATTTATATCTTCTGACGTGTTTTCCCATTTACAGGTTGAGAACATGTTCCACATGATAGAGACTGGAGAAGTAGACGAACATTCCGCTCACTACATCAACCTTGCTCACGAGATGATAAAAAGGTGGAATTGCTGGATAATTAGTAATTATTATTAGTAATTATTAGTTATTAATTAGCAATTAATAGTAATTATATCTGACTCGTTACTGTTATCTGTATCATTATTCCTACAATTCATTGATAAACTCACAAGTCACAGCCTATATTCTGCTTCAGGTTCAGCGCAGTTGTTTTTATGAAAGAAAAAGAGCGTCTCGGTAAAAAAGCTTCTAATCTCATACGAAAGGTAAACTAAAAATCCTTAAAATAAGTTTCCATCTGATTAAAACAGAGCATCCAAAGTAATAATTTATAGCTCGGCTGGGTTCTGGGGAGGAGGTCTGGAGTTGCCTCTACAGTCTCCGCCATCTGCACTACATTTGATCTTACCTGGGGCCCTCAGACTACACACTATGTATACACTATGTATACACTATGTATACACTATGTACACACTATGTATACACTATGTATACACTATGTACACACTATGTATACACTATGTATACAATATGCTATGTATACACTATGTATACACTATGTATACACTATGTATACACTTATACACTATGTATACACTATGTATACACTATGTATACACTATGTATACACTATGTATATACTATGTATACACTATGTATACACTATGTATACACTATGTATACACTATGTATACACTATGTATACACTATGTATACACTATGTATACACTATGTATACACTATGTATACACTATGTATACACTATGTATACACTATGTATACACTATGCATACACTATGTATACACTATGTATACACTATGTATACACTATGCATACAATATGTATACACTATGTATACACTATGTATACACTATGTATACACTATGTATACACTATGTATACACTATGTATACACTATGTATACACTATGTATACACTATGTATACACTATGTATACACTATGTATACACTATGTATACACTATGTATACACTATGTATACACTATGTATACACTGACATCCTGCCACAGGTTCGGACGAAACATCACATTAAAGAAGATGAAGCTCTAGAAGTTACTATCGACAACACCAGAGCTGCCAGAAAAGTCTACAGAGACCTGCTCAAGATTACTGGCATCAGAGATCTACCTCAGATATTTGTGAACGAAACTTTTATTGGTAGCTGGCAGGATCTGAAGACTCTTAACAAGACAGGTAATTATTTGAAACATCGGGAGCTACTCTCTCGAGTGCAATAATGAGCCTCATTAGGCGCAGTAACGAGCATGTTGGGGGATGACGATCGCGTTATATAGCGATTTGGTTGCTGTGCTATAAGCGGTCTCCAACCATTCAGGCCATTGATTGAGTAAAGATGTAACTGACTCACTGATTTAGTGCCAGATCACGTATCTGCAAGATCTTAAGATCTTAAAATGGTATTGGTCATAACTTGGCTTAGTTCGTTACTTGTAAACAATCAACTTGACATTTTGGGAAAGCACTTCAAGTTCAATTATCAAACCAAATGTGTCTAGAAAATTTCCGGAGTTCCTAGCTGAAAGCGTTCACGCTTTATGGCGACAAGAGTGAAAACGAGGGATCTTACCTATACTATAAACTTTAACTTGATAATTGGATGATTAATGAAGCCTTTTGTATGCAATTGCAAATTGCAAACAGAACCATTTTGAAGAGCACACGTTTAATCATTATTTGTGATACTGTCATTCAAGCATTATTATTTATTACGACCCAACATGGTCGGAAAAAACTCCCAGGATTACTCCCCGAATTTTCAGGTATGCTCTCGAAAGAATTACTGAGTTCAATAGGATTCAAAGATTTGTTCTGTCCGATTTGCGCAGAGACTGGAGGGAAAAACCACGAGGCCCATAAAGATAGGGTAAAGAACTTTTAGATGGCTGAGTCTAGCAGGTAAGCACATGTTTTATAGGTATTATACTGCAGGGCTAGACAGAACTCAGAATCATCAGCAAGTTTATGGTTATCCATCCCTCGTCAGCTTTCATGAGACGATAGAATATGAGCAAGACTAGATGGTTTTCCTGTGTCCAAAGCAAGGGATGAAGTACCGTGTAAGATTCAGAAAAATAAAGAATTGACTCAGAGATGGAAAAATGTGTTGAGACTTGACTGTTCATACATAGTCATATTCGATCATTTATTATAATTTATCTAAAGTAATGTGATGCGAAGACTTTGTAATCATTCAGTTGACAATAAAAAGGGTGATTCCACAATCCGATGGAAAAGTTTTAAAAAACCATTACAATTTGAATCAAATGCAATAGTTACTGTTAATCGCAGAAAACATTCAAGCATAACTATAAACACCAACAGAAATTAGTAATCTGAATTTGACTGATCCTACTAAATAGACTAAACACCATGTTCATTTTTTTTCATCAAGATATGACATTTTGTTTTTTGCTTTGGCCGGCCGGCAAAGCATAATTAAATCAACCAATGGTCTGAATTATAGCTCAACTCTTTTTAATATCTCAGTTTTCAGTTAGATTTTAAAAATCGATGGTAATATAATCGCAGTAACTGTGAGTAAGTTCTTCTTTCCGTTTATCCGTAGTTTTTGCCGCACATGTGGATATGTTTGCAGACTCCATCACAGAATGAGAGACCGTTGCTACATCTATCATCTCCACCATCCTCCTTCTTCTCTTCCTCTTTCTGTGATAAAAAAGCTTGTACAACTAACCATATTGGGTACTTATACTTATATTATTATAATATTAGAGGCAATGCAAATAGCGAATCTCAATTGTCGCTAATTACCTAACATTACGTGATAATTTGGTAATTTTGTATCTTTTATAAACAACTTCATAAACAACAATGAATGATAAGGCACTCTCAAGTACCAGTGCGCTTACCATTTCATCTGCGGGACATTTCTTGAAAACTTCAATTTCACGAATGTGTAAAAACTTTTCTCCTGAAACAAGTTGAATCAATGATCTGTAGCATATTACGGTTACCAAAGTGCTACTATACCTCGTCAAGTTCATTCGGAAATTTTGAAATATACCCAGCTTAGAACCCGTAAGTCTACCACAAAAGACGCAATAATTTAACTATGGTCGATTTTTGATTGATCGAATTTCTGTGTTTTTTAATTTCAAGAATCATCATTTATCACGCAGTGTTTAATTTAGATACCTGGTATTTCTACTTTGACATACGTTCCAACTGCACCTTTGCAATTAACCGTAACGCATTTATCGGTCTTTTCCACTTTCACCAAGCCACACAAAATCTGAAAATGTTTGCGTCTTAATGTGGTTATTCCGAATCTTTAAGTTAATTATGAATATTATTAGAACCGATAAGTCGAGGAATTGAAGCTCTGAGGCGTATTTTGCCAAGTCATTTGGCTCATCCTAACGAAACTGCTATTTTATTACAGGCCAGGAACTGCAGAAAAACTTAATATTAAGTTGGTAGGTTATAAACTTGCAAGATAAAGCAATAATCTGATTCAATTTTACCGCGTCCATATCGTCGTTTAAAACGGAAACTTCGGCTCCGTTCAGTTGATCCCAGCAACAGTCTTCTTGAACATTCTTTATCTTAACATCACCGACGCGGCTATTTTCAAACATCAACTGAGAAGTGTTTTTCATAACGAAAAATACTGCCTGAATCCTAGCCATAAAGATATAAACATATCTCCAGAACCTTTAACAAGAGCCATGATAAATTAAAAACAAAATTTACAATCCTGTCGGCGCTTTTTACTTTTAGTTATACGTGACTTGCTCATGAGTCATGTGGTGTGTTAGAAACAAAAATATCTTGTCAAATTTTTATTCGGTTCAGGACAAAAATGGGTTCTTTTGCGATAGTCAAAACGCGACAACTAGCGCTGGATGGCGACAACTAGCGCTATCCAGCGCTATTTGTCGCCATCCAGCGCTAGTTGTCGCTATCCAGCGCTGGATAACGCTGGCCAGCGCAAAATATATATGTTCGATAATTGTCGCTATCCAGCGCTAGTTGTCGCCATCCAGCGCTAGTTGTCGCCATCCAGCGCTAGTTGTCGCTATCCAGCGCTAGTTGTCGCTGGCTATGCGACACTGTCGCACGCGATAGTTTGCGATGGCCAGCGCAACTGGCCATCGCAGAAAACAGTTCGATAACTAGCGCTGGATAGCGACAACTAGCGCTGGATAGCGACAACTAGCGCTGGCCAGCGCTAAGCGATAGCCAGCGCTGGCTAGCGCTGGCCATCGATATCCGGCGCAAAATTTTTGCGCTTTTACTCGTCAGCTAGCGCTAACCAGCGCTAGCCAGCGCTAACCAGCGCTAGCCAGCGCTAACCAGCGCTAGCCAGCGCTAGCCAGCGCTAGCTGACGAGTAATATCGCAACTATATTGCGCTGGCCAGCACTGGCTGACGAGTAATACTAATATCGAGCGTGCTAAATCACTCTACAGTCGATCTTCGAGATTGTTCTAAAAGGGCCCCCGATGGTTGTGTCCAACTTCAATCGATGTATTTTCGGACGCTAATTCCGAATCAACCCCCATGGGCCCATGACATAGGGTTAAAATGCTCTCCTGACGAGATATTGGCGAAAAACTGTACATGTATCGATCACGTGATATGACCGTATAAGGAAGTTAGTCTAATTTCTCGTTATTGTTAGGGTTTCAGCATATGTTTTTGTTAAGGATTGGGTTAGGGTTAGGGTTGGGATCAGATTAGAGGGTTGGGGTTTCGAAAAGTCGTTCAGAACCAGCTAGAGTCAGAGAATGGGTTAAAAAAGGCACGTGACAGTCAAGTGTAAAGTGATTAATCATCATCCGAGTAATATCGCAAGTATATGATTTTGATACATTGCGCTGGCTAGCGCTGGTTACCGCTGGCTAGCGCTGGCTAACGCTGGCTAGCGCTGGCTAGCGCTGGCTAGCGCTGGATAGCGATCACAACTAGCGCTGGATAGCGAAAACTTGAACTAGCGCTGGCTAGCGCTGGCCAGCGCTGGCTAGCGCTGGATAGCGACAACTAGCGCTGGCTAGCGCTGGCCAGCGCTAGCTGACGAGTAATACCGCAAAAATTTTGCGCTGGATAGCGATCCAGCTGGCCAGCGATGGCTATCGCTTAGCGCTGGCCAGCGCTGGCCAGCGCTAGTTGTCGCTATCCAGCGCTAGTTGTCGCTATCCAGCGCTAGTTATCGAACTGTTTTCTGCGATGGCCAGTTGCGCTGGCCATCGCAAACTATCGCGTGCGACAGTGTCGCATAGCCAGCGACAACTAGCGCTGGATAGCGACAACTAGCGCTGGATGGCGACAACTAGCGCTGGATGGCGACAACTAGCGCTGGATAGCGACAATTATCGAACATATATATTTTGCGCTGGCCAGCGTTATCCAGCGCTGGATAGCGACAACTAGCGCTGGATGGCGACAACTAGCGCTGGATAGCGCTAGTTGTCGCCATCCAGCGCTAGTTGTCGCGTTTTGACTATCGCAAAAGAACCTAACTTGTTTGTGTTGAAATATTTTAGTCTGTACTGTACACTAACTATGCGCTAACGCCCATTGTACAGGTTCGTGTCGGGTAGATCTCGTTTACCAAACGACATAGCGGATGTGTCACAAAGGTTCCAGATAATGAAAACAGATAAGAGCAAGGATGGACTGCCAACTTCACAAACTTGCTTCTTCCAACTCAGATTGCCTGATTACTCATCTGAAGTCATTATGGAAGAAAGGTGATATTCACGTTACATTACATATTTTGTGTTTGCTTTTAGTATTAGTAATGGATTCAATATGCTGGTTTACTATTATTTGGAAGCGCACATATCATGTTACACCAAGCGATTGTGCGTCTTAACGGAATGAAGTTAAAAAGGTTAATGACCGATTAGTTGTTGTTAGTTGTTATTGAACGTTAAATAATATAAAACCTGATCCCAGATTAAGGTATGCGATACACAACTGTAGAAGTATTGATGCAGACAATTACATGTTGGCTCGAAACGTTGAGAATAACACACAAGGAAGCTTTGAGGATGGCATCATATGACTAGCAGGTGAGGGAGGGGGGAACTCGTCCCAGTTTCAACCCTTCCTTGATGACACATTGTGATTTCACTGACTGGTAGTTCGGGGAAACAGATATTTTGGTAGCAATGAACACTAACAGTTTCTTAGCCACCGATATTTGGTCATTGATAGAATGCGAGTTTTATAAATAGAATTATCCATTATGCTTGATGAATTAATAAGGTGTATCTCTACTCTACTGGTAACGAGTAAACATTAATTTAGTTTTAAGCCAATGAAATTGTCGTGTTTCTCACATAAGCATGGTACTGGTATTGTATTAAAGTTAATTTAAACTGTCTTATCGAATTATTGATTTTGAAAATTGTCGTTTTATGTAAACAGATTAATATAAATGTTTGTTAATACTCAATTATTCATAGTGATTAACTCCGGATTGTACATACCTTTTTTTGCTGCGTACTGTCATGTATTTTAAACTATAGATATTGTTAATGATTGTATATTTGCACTATTACGAGGGTATGATAAATATTATATTTTAGTTTCTAAATATGTGTTTTCTGTTTCGTGATCTAAGGTTTGGATATGATTTTATTATTAATGAACCGTGTATTTACAGAAAGGTATTCTCTTTATTTCTGGGGCGGGATTTTAAATTCTTGATATTGCAGTTCAAAGTCCTATACCTATGTAATATATTCTGTGATAAAATAGCAATCTTTTATTTTAAGAAACAAGCATTCCTAATTGTTTACCTTATCGGACGTTATTTGACCGAACATTGCGTGAACGGACATTAAAATGATGAATGAACACTTGAAGGCATTCAATTAATGTATTTGATTTAACTATTTTGTCTGACTTTATTTGAACGGAAATTAAAATAAACGCTAATGTCCGTTTAAATGAAGTCCGATCAGGTATATATACATATTTAATATGGGGTCGTTCACATATTATTATTACGTAATCACCTTTTGGAAATTTTTAACCTCCTCCCCCTCCGTAATCAGTTTTACACATATAATAGCTATTGTGTCAAAATAACACTAGCGGCGTAATCATTTTAAAACCCACCTCCCCCTCGGCTAACTACTTACGTAATATGTGAACGACCCCATATTGTTAGCTACGTTTTTACCACATCACCAATCACACAAGTGCAAACATCGTGCAATATTGGTCATAGAATATGGATAAGTCACAGAATAAATTTGCTGAATTCAAACAACGTGTCTCAAGGAATGAATAATTAATCAAACATGAAATTAAATTTTAAAGATATCCAATATCGCACATTTGTGTTTGAGTTAAAAATAATATATAATGTAATCTTCTAATCTACGTGATTCCTTGTCCTTAAACGCTCCAGTCATCCGTACTTTTATTATTCACCTGAAATATTTTCCTATTACTGCTACTTCCGCAACAACTTATAAATTGCACAAATTTTGTACGATGCTCATATCAATTTCACCAGGACTTATGCTTTTATTTTATTTTTAGTGCAAGTTGAAAATAATGCCAACTTACGTTTGTAATTTTCGAATCACCCGGAGATTTCGGCCTCACGCTTGGCTTGGACAATGTTCGGTTGATCGTAGTCCCACTCATGTTGCTCCATATCAATATAGAACCCCACCACCTCTTTAAACACACCCTCCTCTTTGCAAGTGCAGCCTGAGGAGAAAGATCTTAAACTAATCGTACTTAAATTAGGTGCGGTGGAAAACAAAAAACTGTTCGTGTACCTACTTAGATTTGGTAGGTTAAGAATTAGCGTCATTAAAGATTTCTCTATTCATACATTTGGAATTTATTTAAAAGCTCCATGTCCTTAGTTTCGATTCTTCCATTATTAAATTTTGCTTTAACTTACTGTTTAGTCTTTTGTGTGACCAAGTCATCACGTAAGGAACTTCAACTCTGTCCTTTGTCATCACCGCTTTACACACGGCCTTCTTGTTGGGTGGGGCGGTGCAAGGTAACTCCACGGTCTCCGTCGTTGTAACAGTACTTGACTCCCCTGTAAAATTTCTAATCAGTATGGAATATTTATTGAATGTGTTATACTTATATGCTAATTAAGCTAATATATATATTTACTATTTATATGTATAACTATAAGTATAACTATAAATATACGCTAAAACTGAATTTAAAGCATTTCGAAAATTAGCAATAATAGCTTGTTTATACCTGCACTGAACTCCATAGATGCACTCATCTCAGCCGAAACTGAACCAGATACTACCCCTGGGACTTCAGCCGTGAATGATGTGCCGAGTGTGACTGAAGCACCCGTAGTACGAGAGAACTCCATCGTATCAGAAACCTCAACAGATTGCACAACCAGGACTGACAAATCTGTGCTGCCTCCATTTTTCAGTTCCTCTTCGCTGAATATTTTACTCAATTTATAATAATAATGATAATTTTGTCGACCGCAGTCGTGGAGCCGATCTGTCTAATTGCATTTCGGCCACGGTCCTTTCGGTACAGATTTCCCTGCAGTATAACTATAGACATTAGACATAGTCGGGACGCAACCCCAGGCGTATACACTCGTGTTATTTTCGCAGCTCTAATGAAAGCCACTACCATTTTGATTTACACCATGGTTTGGTGAGTGATGGCTGCCCTTCAGTTTTTGAGATCTTGGCCCAACTGGGATTCGAACTTGCAACCTCCAGGCCAATAGACAGGCGGATTAACCGAATGAGCCACTGAGCCACTCTATTTATAATTACTATACCAATCGTTCATAACTATTTCATGAATCCAAATAATCAAAGCTTGTGAACTGATCCAAAATTTAAAAACAATAGAAAGTTTAACAACAATAACATAAATTCAATTTCCTTACTTTGTAATCGTATATTGGATCATGCATACCGTAGAACTAGAATGGGGGAACTTCGCCATGTTTTACAGCTATTTCATGTTATTTCGAAAATAGTACGATACGACTACGAGTACTTGAAAAAGTTTATAGCTCATATGAACAGGATTGGTAAAGCAAATAGTTTCGTATGAACCACATCAGCCAGGCATAAATAGTCAGCTAGATTGGTGCCACTGAAATCAGGGCAAAGTTACTCTGCAATATAATGGGGTAACTTCGCCATTCTGAAACAATACCATATTCGGTGCTAGCACCATACCACTCGAGACTCAATTATATTTCCTTGATATACCTGCCAATTTTACTTATCTAGCTCCTAGCCTACGTGTTACAATGGGCAATTTGGTCGCGGGGGTAACATCGCCATGCTGCGGGTAACATCGCCGGGATGAAGTAGAAATGTAGTCGAACTTCGCCAATACACGTGCGTGACTTTGCCAGCCGCGCGCGAATTTCGCGCCAAACTTCGCCGAACAGATGTGAGATGGGATCAGAAAAGGGTAACTTCGCCACACAAAAATTTGAAAACGTTATAATATCATTTGTGTGCATCATGGTTAATTAACTTCGCCCTTAAATGAACAGGACATATACTAACGATGTCGCACCAAATTTACATGGAAATTATGGGAAATATGCAAGCGGGAAGTTTTAGCCACTTTATTGCATTATTTCATGTTGCCTGAGGTTAATTAAAATAGCAAATGCTTATTTTTTAATAGGAATACCTTTATAACCATTTTTTCAACACAATACTATACAAAAACTTGATCTCCTAACAATTCAAAACGGCTAAAATGATTATTCGAAAAATACTGGCGAAGTTTCCCGATCACACGGCGATTTTACCCCAATTTACGGTAACTTACACAGCAACATCAGGCGGAGCTGTGGAAACGATGCCATTATCAATATCGTACTTGATGTGGGTAGCTTTGAAGTCCTCTTCATTGACATTGGTACAGTCGCAAGCGTCTGTCGCTAAAAATAGACTTTTTAATGGTCTATTAATAGAATTGACTTATTTCAGTAGCTTATACTTTTTTACTAACAGTCAAGTTAAGCCCCGCAAAATCAATAGAACTTATAGTTTTGCGAGATTTATAAAGAAAGTCACGAGGAATATAATATCAAATATTTAATAGAATTGACTTATTTCAGTAGCTTATACTTATTTTACTAACAGTCAAGTTAAGCCCCGCAAAATCAATAGAACTTATAGTTTTGCGAGATTTATAAAGAAAGTCACGAGGAATATAATATCAAATATTTCGTATTATATACAATAAGTATTTAATCTATACATCATAATATGTACATAAGATTAAGTATACTAAAAGTGGAAACCTGCTTCCTTTACCGATCACAACCAAAATTATAAACGAATTAAGTTTGTGCGTTAATGTTACCTAATCGTATCATGACGTACCATAAAGCACCACAGTACGTGTGCTATTAGTATTCTGCATTGTATAAAAGTCAACTCACAACAAGTGGGTACGTCACACCAGTCATATCTCACACTAGGGTTTGTTGTATAGCACCAAACATCGCTGTACTTCCTCTCTGGATTTCGACAATAGTTGTTATCTTCGATACCATACCTGCAGTCAGAGATTGATGAGAAGATGAAATACTTGATAACGTGTCTTTCGAAAATCACAAAAACAATGGACTGCAATTGTGACGGTTCCACAATACACCTGTCCCTAGTATCTCACACTTAAGTTATAATTGTGGAGATCGAGACGACAAACACTTCTCAACATGTACAAAAATTGAGTCATTGAGTTCACTCACAAAGTTAAAACATGTAATTATATTATGTACTTACGTTTTCTTAATTTTTGATTTGTGGACTTCATTTGATTTCCAATTCTGACATGTGTAACCTAATCTTGTTCTAGATTGAGTCCCATCGTATCCTGATCCTTTGTTTGCTCTATCCTTGGCATCCCAACATTCCCGAGCTGAAACACGTCGATTTGTCATATTATGAGAGTTAATAGTAGTAGTATAAAGACCTCCTTTTAAAAAGCTTGGCTATTTAATTGACAGGAATGATTGATCCAGATTAATTGTCAGTAGCATATGCATTATCGGACAATTCAAGTTGCGATGAACCTCCATAGAATCATCGATTGATTCGTTTACAATTGAAACTTACCAGATAACAATGAAATGATCGAGAGTAAGGTTACCAAGAAAAACATTGACATTGTCTTGCTTTCTGAACTCAATGGTTGGTTTTAATATAAATCTTTAGTTTGTTGGCATTAAGAATCACAACGGTATTTGTGAATCAATATATTAAATCATGGGTAACAGTGTGGCAGATCATATTAGTATTGCAATTGATCATATTAATCGTGTTTCATCGTTTAAAGATGTGCAAACATCCTTACATATTGGTCACACATTGGTCATAGAATATGGATAAGTCACAGAATAAATTTGCTGAATTCAAACAACGTGTCTCAAGGAATGAATAATTAATCAAACATGAAATTAAATTTTAAAGATATCCAATATCGCACATTTGTGTTTGAGTTAAAAATAATATATAATGTAATCTTCTAATCTACATGATTCCTTGTCCTTAAACGCTCCAGTCATCCGTACTTTTATTATTCACCTGAAATATTTTCTTATTACTGCTACTTCCACAACAACTTATAAATTGCACAAATTTTGTACGATGCTCATATCAATTTCACCAGGACTTATGCTATGATTTTATTTTTAGTGCAAGTTGAAAATAATGCCAACTTACGTTTGTAATTTTCGAATCCCCCGGAGATTTCCTCACGCTTGGCTTGGACAATATTTGGTTGATCGTAGTCCCACTCATGTTGCTCTATATCATATCTATTCCCCACCACCTCTTTAAACACACCCTCCTCTTTGCAAGTGCAGCCTGAGGAGAAAGATCTTAAACTAACTGTACTTAAATTAGGTGCGGTGGAAAACAAAAAACTGTTCGTGTACCTACTTAGATTTGGTAGGTTAAGAATTAGCGTCATTAAAGATTTCTCTATTCATACATTTGGAATTTATTTAAAAGCTCCATATCCTCAGTTTCGATTCTGCCATTATTTAATTTTGCTTAAACTTACTGTTCAGTCTTTTGTGTGACCAAGTCATCACGTAAGGAACTTCAACTCTGTCCTTTGTCATCACCGCTTTACACACGGCCTTCTTGTTGGGTGGGGCGGTGCAAGGTAACTCCACGCTCACCGTCTTTGTAACAGTACTTGACTCCCCTGTAAAATTTCTAGTTCAGAGGATCAGAACCGCTGAAAATGGCGTTTAAGAAAATGAAGATTGAACGATTTTCAGGAATTTTGACAAGTAATTAAGCAAATATATAATTAAATATTTACTATTTATATTTTTACTATTTATATGTATAACTATAAATATACGCTAAAACTGAATTTAAAGCATTTTGAAAATTAACAATAATAGCTTGTTTATACCTGCACTGAACTCCATAGATGCACTTATCTCAGATGAAATCGAACCAGATGCTATCCCAGGAACTCCAATCTCGAATGATGTGCCGAGTGTGACTGAAGCACCCGTAGTACGAGAGAACTCCATCGTTTCAGAAACCTCAACAGTTCGCACATACAGGACTGTCAAATCTGTGCTGCCTCCATTTCTCAGGTCCTTTTCGCTGAATATTTTACTCAATTTATAATAATAATAATAATTTGGTCGACCGCAGTCGGGGAGCCGATTTCCCTGTCTAATTGCATTTCGGGTACGGTCCTTTCGGTACAGATTTCCCTGCAGTATAGTCGGAACGCAACCCCAGGCGTATACACTCGTGTTATTTTCGCAGCTCTAAGTCTAATGAAAGCCACTACCATTTACACCATGGTTTGGTGAGTGATGGCTGCCCTTCAGTTTTTGAGATTTTGGCCCAACTGGGATTAGGACTCGCAACCTGCAGGCCAATAGACAGGCTGATTAACCGACTGAGCCACTGAGCCACTCAATTTATAATTACCAATCGTTCATAACTATTTCATGAATCCAAATAATCAAAGCTTGTGAACTGACACAGCTGCTCTAATATTGTCTGGACACAAAGGGTTCTTATTTCTGTTGTCAAGGAGAAACATTGGGAGTTTAGTAAAATGGGGATAGACATGTCATCAGCCTTCGACACGATACATCGGTCAACTCTCCTCAGGCTACTCGAAGATGCAGGATGCTCAGAAGATGACATAAGACTAGTTAGATATCTGCTCGCTAACACCAAGCTCAGAATTAAGATCAAAAAGACGACATCGGGAGAGTTCGAAGTCACAATAGGAGCCTTTCAAGGTGACTGTTTGTCTGGCTCGCTGTTTACCATGTACCTAGCTGGAGCACTCTACCACCTTAGAGTTGTTGTTATACATCTACGCCCAAATCCCCCCATATCTGAAAGCTCCCTTCCTTTAGAATGGGAATATGCTGATGATGTGGACTTTGCTGATGAAGATGAGGATTCGTTACACCAGCTCCTTCCAATTTGCAAGGAAATTCTCTCAGAATGGAATTTGTTTGTGAATGAATCTAAAACCGAGTTTGTAAAGTGTTATCTGGCTGGAAGTAGTGAGAAGGACGAAAAAGGAGAACCTCTAAGAAATAGAGAACCTTGGAGGAAGTGTGTGTCCCTAGGCTCTAAGCTATGTAGTAAAGAAGACATACAGCATCGTATAATCCTTGGAAATGTCGCATTCGAGAAATACAAGAAAGTTTGGATGCAAGGATCTAAGATTAATCTGAAGACCAAGATTAAGATATACGAAGCATACGTTACATCTGTTATGCTCTATAACTGCAATAGCTGGGCTACCCCTCAGAACCTATTTGACAAACTTGATGCATGTCATAGAAGACACCTGCGTCAAATATTGAAGATGACTTATCCCATTATTATCAGTAATAAAGCACTCTATGAACGCTGTGGTGTAACACCGTTGTCAGAGCGAGTGACATATGCTCGCTGGAAAATGCTTGGACATGTCCTTCGCAGTGACTGCTCATCACCAGCTCAGAGAGCTCTTCAATTTGCTGTTAATGCGTTATTTACCATGAAAGGACGTGTTGGTCGACACCAAAGTAATCTTTTAAAGTTTATTATAAATGATTTGGGCAAGTTTCCATAACTAATTTTTTGTGATCAGCGGTAATAACCGCTTTTTTTACGCTAAAAAAGCGCTTATTGATAAAACCCACCGTTATTTGGCGATTATAAAGCGATTATAAACGGTCCCGTTAATAAACGATTAAAAACGATTATAATCGCTTTTTCCATAATTTTTTTTTGCAAAAGCGATTATTAGCGCTTTAAAAGCGATAATAAATCGCGAATTAAAATTATTAGTGATAAAAAAACGCTTTTATTTTAGGGTTGTCGATTATTATCGCTCCGTAAGCGCTTTTCAAAAAAACGCTTATAAACCGTTTTTTGGACCGTTTTTAAAACGCTTTTAATCGACTATAAGCGATTATATTCACTAGGGAAAGTTCCAAATTAAAAAGCGCCTACTAATCGTTAAAAAACCGCTTTTTTATCTTAAGTTAATAAGCGGTTTAAATCGATTATAAAACGATTATAAGCGACAATAAGCGATTTTTTGAAATCTGGTAAAAAGCGATATTTTCACTATGATCAGCGCTTATAACCGCTTTTCTTGAAATTTTCCTACTGAAAAGCGTTTATAAGCGCTTATTTATTTGCTGTCTATAAGCGATTATAAACGATTATAAGCGCTTTTTTACGTATTTGAAACGAGGAAAAAATTGTCAGGTACGAGATATTATAAGCGATTATAAGTGATTATAAAGTATCGTAAATGTTATTGTCTTCAATTGTCGCTTATAAGCGATTATAAACGATGAAAAGCGCTTTTTGACGCATTTTAAAACTATGATCAAAATATGTTTTGATTTGATTTATTTGGGGTATATAAGCGATTATGTAAGCGGGGTATATAAGCGATTATAAACGATTATGAGCGCTTAATTTTTTACGTATTTGGAACGAGGACACAATTAACAACAAAATTACGCGATATTATAATAATAGTCCAGTTATTAATGGACATTTATGGAAATGAACCTGCAAATTTTCAGATACTCACGAAACTTTGCACAGACGTTCCAAAAGGTATGAATAAACGATTTTCGGTTGGAGACATTTTTTTTACCATGGGGAAAACCCAGGAGGGCCACGCCCATATTGATCCAATAATGTAACTGACCCTTTTCTTCTGAAAGTCGTAGAGACTTCAAAATAGGCTTAAACGAAGCCGCATATGCATCTTTATATAGAAGTTATTGATCAACACATGGCCTAAAATCCTTACTTTTCGAGAAATTCACCAAAAACCATTTTGGGCGTGGCGCTGAGCCCATTTTACTAACTTTTGATATGATCGTGATAGAGTCTTCGGATAGAGTGCAAAAGAACCGCAATTGGCATATTTATATATGACTTATGAAGAAACATATACCTTAAAGTGCTTACTTTTTCAGTTATTGGCGGAAACTGATTTTCGGTTCCAGAAATCATGCAAAAATATGGGTATCTGGTAAATTGGGCTATGAAGGCCCTAGAGATTTTTGAATGGGTGCAAATTGTGCAAAATGGCCATGTTTATATACAACTTATGAAGCAATATGTACCCTAAAATGCTCACTTTTCGAGTTATTAACATAGAACGGGAGGCAAAAATGGCTGATATAACCAATTTTGCTCTATTTCGTGAAAATTTTCTCTGGTTTTCCCCCAAATAACTCGAAAAGTGAGCATTTTAGGGTACATATTGCTTCATAAGTTGTATATAAACATGGCCATTCTGCACAATTTGCACTCATTCAAAAATCTCTAGGGCCTTCATAGCCCAATTTACCAGATACCCATATTTTTGCATGATTTCTGGAACCGAAAATCAGTTTTTCGCCAATAACTGAAAAAGTAAGCACTTTAAGGCACATGTTTCTTCATAAATTATATATAAATATGCCAATTGCGGTTCTTTTGCACTTTATCCGAAGACTCTATCACGATTATATCAAAAGTTAGCAAATTGGCTCAGTGCCTCGCCCAAAATGGTTTTTGGCGAATTTCTCGAAAATTAAGGATTTTAGGCCATGTGTTGATCAACAACTTCTCTATAAACATGCATATGCGGCTTCGTTTAAGCCTATTTTGAAGTCTCTACGACCTTCAGAAGCAAAGGGTCGGTTACGTTATTGGGTCAATATGTGCGTGGCCCTCCTGGGTTTTCCCCATGTTAAAAAAATGTCTCCAACCGAAAATCGTTTATTCATACCTTTGGGAAGGTCTGTGCAAAGTTTCGTGAGTATCTGAAAATTTGCAGGTTCATTTCCATAAATGACTGGACTATAAGCGATTATAAGGTATTATAAATGACATAGCTCGGCGCGCTCATACTAAATCGCTCGCCCAAATTTTAAGAAAATTCTTGTGAAAAGGCCCTTTGGGTATGAAATTGATCTGAATCGATGTATTTTTGGACGCTAATTCCGAATCACCCCCCATGACGTAGGGTAAAAATGCTTCCCTGGAGAGTTATAAGCAAAAAAAAAACCGTTTTGGTCACGTGACAGGCTAGTAAAACATGAATTCTAGGGAAGCTTGGGATTTTTTGCACATCTGCCAATATTTTCGCAGCAAATTGGAAATAAAAGATATATCTTTTGCCGTCATGACGATAATTTGCGTTTTGATTTTTAATAATTTGCGTTTTGATAAATTACAACCGCTTCTTAATCTTGAGTTAATTACATTTGTTTCACTATATGTTATACCTTATCGGACCTTATTTGGACGGACATTACATGAACGGACATAATTGTGAACGGACATTAATATGAACGCTCGAAGGCATTCAAAACCATCAAAAATCCGAATTTTTTTCAATTTTTGACGTTTTTTTAATTTCAGCAAATGATTTTTTAATCCATTTTTTATACAGTAAGTAAGAAAAGCAGTCATTAAGCAGTAAAAATGTTAAAATATGTGTACATGATCAGTGTCTAATATCACATATCATCTTCATTAAATAGGTTTTCGTGCATGAAATAGTCCATGCTTAAACAAGCATCAGTGATTTCTAGCTTTGTGGAAACCTTTTTTATCAAACTACCCTGGTCCTGCATTTCAGTGTTAACTTTTACAAGCCATTCGGCGTGAAGTGGTTTTATCTTAGACAACTTTAGGTTAACCTTAAAATCACGTGGAGCTTTCCTAGCACTGTTTCATTACCTCCCCTCAGTAATATGAACTATAAAAACGTCGGACAATGTCCTTGGCAACACGATTTACCGTAATATCTAGAGACTGGAACAAGTTTGTCATGTTGGCGGGGACTAGCTCATGAACTATGTTGTTGAGTGTCATGATTTCGTTGACTTTTTCCTCCAAGTGACCCTTGAAAACATCATATACTAGTAGAGTTTTCTGTGCCTCCGGCAGACCAAGGAGAACCTTTCCGTCGTTAACTTACGGCACAATAAAGTTCTCATAGTTGTCATATTCTGGGTAAAAAGTTCGAAATGGAAAAATTTCAAAAAATTTCAACGGACTTTAACTTGGACGGACATTAATTGAACGGACTTTATTTGAACGGACATAAAGATGAACGCTAGGGC